TCCCTTTCGAAACCCTACAAAATGGGTTGCTGTTCTTATTTTCTTGCTTCACATGCTTCAAAAGGTCTGGCCTCCAGACTGCGCAGAATATATTTGCGAGCATTTATACATTTTCTGTTCCCCCATCATGCCCCTACAAAGTGAGAGGTCCCCGTCGAAACAGCTATAATAATCTATAATATGGTTTGGTGTTTTGTTATTTCCTGCGCATATAGTAGTATACCCGAAGACACCACAAGAGGTACTAAAACGAAAATTTGAGTTAAAGTCATACTTAGTATTTGTGTGCTGTTTCTTTCCCCCGTCCCCCCTCATGCCATATCATGCCCCTACAAAATGACAGGTTTCCTTCCAAGCACCTACAAGATGGGTTGGCGTTGTGATTATTCTCAAACATGCAACTTAAAACTGTAGACTCTTCAAAGCTGCTTGGGTTCTTGACGCCCATCATGTTGTTCCTTCCAAAAAACACCGACACACACACACAGAGAACAACATGATCACTTGCTAATTTGTTTCCTCATGGTTTTGAGTCTTGAGACGGAAAAATGCAGCGAACCCTTCTGTGGTTTTACTCCCTTCAATCTGGGTTCTTGATGCATTTGGGGTTTACTACAAAATGGGTATCTTGAAATTGATCACGCAAAGCGGTTTTGGATTTTTCAAATTGCTCAGGGCCCCTCGGAGCCAGTTTTTTATCTACAAACTGGGTCCTAAATAATGGTTGAAAACAGCTTTCGAAAACAATCTTGATGAAAAAAACGAATTCTACCCCTGTTTTAACCTCTTTTAGGTACTCATTTTGTACTGAAGAAGCCTATCCAGGCCCGGATTTTGTAGAGAAAATTTCCAAGCAACCCATTTTGTAGATTCAGGTCCGTTATTTTGTAGAGAAAAATACCGGGGCATTTGCTAATTAATTTAATTTATTAATCTTATATTAAATATGTTTTTATAAATAATAAAATATAAATTATATATATTTAATATTTTTTATGTTTTTCTAATTAATATATTAATTAATAATTATATTTATTAAAATATATTATATTATGTATTTATTATTTTCTAAATTATTATAAATATATATATTTTAAAATAAATATGTAATTAATATAATGAAATTATTTTGTTAGGAATAATTACTAATTAATTGAATTATTATGGATTTATTTCGTATGAAAAATAATATTTGATTATTCTTCCGTAAAATATTCGTGGAATTTTCGCGAAAATGTCTCCTGTTTATAGGCCTGAATTATATATAGGATATATATATTATATATTAAAATTATAATATTTGATTATGATAATGTTTTTTCTTCGGAAATTTGGTTATTAATTGTAAAGAATAAAATAAATGCGTAATATTATTTTCTTGCCGTATCTCCCTGCGGCAGAGGTAATAGTCCTTAATAATGTCTAATATATAAAATAATTATAATTTAGAATATATAAATTTTATAAATTATATATTAATATTTATTTTATATTATTTATTTTAGATTATGTTTTTTATATATTATATTTTATATATTATAATTTATATATTATATTTTATATATTATATTTTATATATTATATTTTATAAATAATAATTTATATAATATGTTTATGTTTATTTATTATATATATTATTTTCGAATATTTTAAATTTTAGATTTTATAATTTAATTAATTTATTGGATGTTTTAAAATATATTTTTTATTTTTATGTTTTATTTTAAATTTTATATTCTTAATATAATTATTATAATTTAAAATAATAAATAATAAA